GAGAGCTTCTATGAGAGAGGCATAATGAAATTACCTTCAAAATGGCAACAAGTTATCGAACAAAACGGCGCATATTTGACCTAAATCGGATCATTTTAATTAAGGTAATTAAAGCCTTCAATTTCATGCAAAAATAATGGATTTCTTTTTACTACACCTGGTATATATAAATATATATATACAGGGTGGACCATTTTAACCTTTAATGGAGAATAACTCGACCGGTGAGCGAAATAATGAAAAAAGTTTCATACAAAAGTTGTTGGACAAGGAGGGGGACGTATGACCATATCCTTGAATTTGACCTTGACTTTGACCTTAGGGGTTATTTGAAGGTCAAATAACATTTTTTAAATGGAATTGCCTATTTTCGACCCCGGATTTGGAAAGAGCGGGAAATTTTAGAATAGGATATGGTATGATCGATAAGATCAAATGTCATGTTTTGAGGTCATTTCAAAGTCAAAAGGAACTTGCACGTGTATTCATGCGAAAATCGTATCTGTATACGGGGATTTCTAAATTATCTTCTACACTTAGCATTACCCAGAGACAACGACGTGGACGTGGTAGAATTCTGCCTCTTTCGGGGTGCTTGTTTAGAGTGAGTCCCCTTGCCTCTCACTATGCATACTTTGCTATTGTTAATCTAGCTATTCAAAAGGTTTTCGAAAGTTGCACCGTTAGCATTTATGCAATAATTGAGCCTTCTTTGGAAATGGGCCACTGTGCTGAGCAAGACATTTCGTGGAATCGCTTCACAAGCTCGTCTTATGCGATTTTCCATATCTTCTCTTGTTGTTGGTTCTTCTTTGAAAACAACTTCTTTCAAATAGCCCCAGAGATAAAAATCGAGTGACGTCAAATCAGGAGAACGAGGAGGCCATGCAATCGGACCCTCTCGACCAATCCATCGGTTCGGGTACCTTTCATCTAAAAACCTCCTGACTATACGTGCAAAGTGCGGTGGTGCACCATCCTGTTGGAAGAACATCCTTCGCCTGGTTTCCAAGTCTACGTTCTCCAACAAATGAGGCAATTGGTCTGTGAGCAAATCGAGGTACGTATTTGCATTCACAGTACGTTCGAAAAAGAATGGACCGACCAAGTATCCATTAACAATCCCGCACCAGACATTGAGGCTCCAGCGGTGTTGATTGTCAATCGCTCTATGCCAGTGCGGATTGGTATCGGACCAATAATGGCAATTATGCCGGTTCAACTCCCCTGTGTTCTTGAACGTCGCTTCATCGGAAAACATCACAAATCTAAAAAAATTAGGGTCCCGATCGATCTGCTGTAAGGCCCACCGGCAGAACTCGAGGCGTCGATCAAAATCGGCAGGTAATAATGTTTGGGTCAAAGTGATATGATAAGCATGGTACTTCCGAGCCTTCAAAATCCGCAAAATTGTGGACTTCGGTATTCCTGTGGATACCTCCAGTCTACGGCTCGAAATATGAGGATCGAGATAGACCGATGCCAAAATAATCAGCACTCGAACGTCATTCTCGTCATATTCGTGATGACGTTGATGTGTCATTTGCCCAGTACGTGCCCTCGTGGTTAAATTTCTGATCGTCACGTTACACGGATGTCGTCTCCTCGGAAAGCGCTGAGCTTAAAGTGCTGCGGCATTCACATGTGGCCGGTAGGAGCACGCAGAGAAAGACAATATGTCCACGTCGCTTCCGAGTAATGCTCACATTTTTCACTCGTAAGGAATTATTCGCTGAGAATACAAAATAGTGTTATCATTGTTATTATTATCATTATCCGCCCAAAAATAATATTGATAATAATAATTATAACAATAATTATTATAAAGCTAGTATAATAAATATTGTTCATTGAGATAAAACTCAATTATTATCATACAGCTTGTCTCTTAGTATTAATAAGCAGAGATCTGGTGTGATTAAAATGGGAGATTATACACTCAATGAGATCGTTGATATGATTTATATTTTAGGAGAATGTCGAGGTGTCTATGTGAATGCCGCAGCACTTTACGCTCAGCGCTTTCCGAGGAGACGACATCCGTGTAACGTGACGATCAGAAATTTGACCACGAGGGCACGTACTGGGCAAATGATACGTCACGTCGTCATCACGAATATGACGAGAATGACGTTCGAGTGCTGACTATTTTGGCATCGGTCTATCTCGATCCTCATATTTCGAGCCGTAGACTGGAGGTATCCACAGGAATACCGAAGTCCACAATTTTGCGGATTTTGAAGGCTCGGAAGTACCATGCTTATCATATCACTTTGACCCAAACATTATTACCTGCCGATTTTGATCGACGCCTCGAGTTCTGCCGGTGGGCCTTACAGCAGATCGATCGGGACCCTAATTTTTTTAGATTTGTGATGTTTTCCGATGAAGCGACGTTCAAGAACACAGGGGAGTTGAACCGGCATAATTGCCATTATTGGTCCGATACCAATCCGCACTGGCATAGAGCGATTGACAATCAACACCGCTGGAGCCTCAATGTCTGGTGCGGGATTGTTAATGGATACTTGGTCGGTCCATTCTTTTTCGAACGTACTGTGAATGCAAATACGTACCTCGATTTGCTCACAGACCAATTGCCTCATTTGTTGGAGAACGTAGACTTGGAAACCAGGCGAAGGATGTTCTTCCAACAGGATGGTGCACCACCGCACTTTGCACGTATAGTCAGGAGGTTTTTAGATGAAAGGTACCCGAACCGATGGATTGGTCGAGAGGGTCCGATTGCATGGCCTCCTCGTTCTCCTGATTTGACGTCACTCGATTTTTATCTCTGGGGCTATTTGAAAGAAGTTGTTTTCAAAGAAGAACCAACAACAAGAGAAGATATGGAAAATCGCATAAGACGAGCTTGTGAAGCGATTCCACGAAATGTCTTGCTCAGCACAGTGGCCCATTTCCAAAGAAGGCTCAATTATTGCATAAATGCTAACGGTGCAACTTTCGAAAACCTTTTGAATAGCTAGATTAACAATAGCAAAGTATGCATAGTGAGAGGCAAGGGGACTCACTCTAAACAAGCACCCCGAAAGAGGCAGAATTCTACCACGTCCACGTCGTTGTCTCTGGGTAATGCTAAGTGTAGAAGATAATTTAGAAATCCCCGTATACAGATACGATTTTCGCATGAATACACGTACAAGTTCCTTTTGACTTTGAAATGACCTCAAAACATGACATTTGATCTTATCGATCATACCATATCCTATTCTAAAATTTCCCGCTCTTTCCAAATCCGGGGTCGAAAATAGGTAATTCCATTTAAAAAATGTTATTTAACCTTCAAATAACCCCTAAGGTCAAAGTCAAGGTCAAATTCAAGGATATGGTCATACGTCCCCCTCCTTGTCCAACAACTTTTGTATGAAACTTTTTTCATTATTTCGCTCACCGGTCGAGTTATTCTCCATTAAAAGTTAAAATGGTCCACCCTGTATATATATATACATATACATATATATATTTTTTTATATTTTTATAGTATTTTAATGTTAAAAAAGGTGAAATAATATTTAAGATTAGTTTTTTTACAAATTCTTCATTCGATTATGCAACATACATATTTAAAAGAAAAATTATTATAAATTACTAATTTGACTTATTACAATAATAGTATAAAAGTTATTTAATTATTATTTAATTGTTCATCTTCACCTGTATAAAATAAATAATTTAATGAAACATTAAATAGAAGACGAATAAAAATTGAATACAACAAATTATATGTTTGAAAATTTATTATTGCTACATTGAATACATATCAAACTGCAATATAAAATACGTAAAAAAAATACAACGACATAAGTGTGATTGTGCGAATGGTAACAGTATTAATTTATCTAACTTAACCCAATCTTTGTTATGCACAGTAATATAAATTGGGTTAAGTTAATTTAGTTTGTGGAGAGGATGCGGAATCTTCGCACATATACAGGATATCACAGACTACCATCCGAATTTTGTAAACACGACATTTTAGGGAAACATGTTTCAGGTGAAAGTCATATGGTTTCAAAGGGGACATATAACAATTATATCACTTTGTTTACAGATGGCACTTTCGAGATATTCACTAATCATTATTTTTCTTAAATGGAAACTCTAATTTTTTTATTATATCATCTTTTTCTACCAATTAATTTGAACAACTTTTGTCCGAAATATTTTTTATTTGCCTATTTTTTGCAATATTTAAGAAAAACTTGATACCTTTTTCAATATTTAATTTACGATATCTCGCTAACTATTTGACGGAAGAAAAAGTGGTAATAGACATTTTTACTCTATTTGATTTCAAGAATATATTATAATAGTGCCCTAACTTTGTTAACTTATCGACTTTTGGAAATTTTAAAATCATCAAATCAACAAAAGTCATTGTATTCATATTTATCGTTAAAAGTAATAAGCAAATATTGAACCAAACTCTTTAACTGGTTCAGTACGTATAAGATGTAACCAATTGCATGTAAGAAATAAAATGTACTGCCAATAGAAAAACGATAAAATAACTATACAAATAGAGATATTGCTAACAAATATACGTATCAGAAATTGTATTCATTCGGCGTAGTTTCGATTGTTCAAATTTCTGTTAAGGATCGCAATCAATGAAAATCGGCATCAAGAAGTCGAGAAGAGATGTTAATTAAGATTTCATAACAGTATCGAGATAGTGTTTCGTTTAAATATTCGCATATCACTTTATCGCAATCTCATGTAGGAAATTCGGCAATTCCGGTAAATTGAACAACTAATCAGACCAAACCAGAAATTCACCTATGGCGAAATGCACAACTGTGTCGCGCAAGTAACGGACTGCGTTTCTCTCTGCGGTTAACTCCAGCGAGATACATTCGGCGATTGTGATTGTATATGCCGCCATAACGCGCGCATGTGGGCACCCTTATACGATTACGTTTCTGCTTATTACACATAAGACAGCATATATAGACAGTTCCGGTAATACAGTGAGCGGTATTACACTTTGAAAGTTGCTTCGGAGAATTATTCCACGTTTCTTGTCGCGGGAATAAGTTGCACGGGACACTATCATTTTTTCGATCGACGTAGCGATACCTCGTCCGATGATGATGGCGAAGAAGATTGAGTTCATATGGATGTTATTCATAGCAGTAAGAAATTACCATATACACCAGGTGTCCAGTAATTTACGTCCGTTATTTACATGACTCTATCTTATAATAGAAATTTAGCATTTTTTTAGCCATATATCAAATTTCTAAGGATACAAGCGATCGAAGAAACAAATCTTTTCATGCACTGAACTTTGAGTGATCAAATAAACAGCAAAATTATTTTCCTCGATCAAGCGAGCTTCAACAAAATTTCAATCTAAGACTTAACTTTAAAAGTGAGTTGTGATGAAAATTAAAAAAATCACTATAAATAATAGACTTCCTCTGTATTTTTACTGAAAAGAAAATAAAAATGTTCATAAGGAGCGTTTTATAAATAATAGGCGTAAATTATGATACTCTTTATAAGTATATATATAAATTAAGGAATTATTTATTAACGCAATAATTTCTGCAAAAATTTTCTAACATTATAAATGTACTTTATTGACTGTGTTAAGAATTTATTATGATGTCAAACAGACGTCTAGCTTTTAGTATATGTCTCACTTGCAATCTATTTTATTAAATTCTTTGCTTATGGAATATTTATTACGTATACAAATTTGATCACATAAATTAATACATAAATTTAATTATTTTAAAATGTTTTCTTCTACATTTTGATAGTCTTTACAAAAGTCCAAAACATAACTGACACGCGTATAATATTCGTATTTGTTTTGCAATATTTATATTTGTTTTACAATATTCGTTTTGCACTGTAAAATTGAAAATTAATTAATATTCGTGCAATAAATCCAATAAATTGGCTCTTATTGTTTTATAAAATTTTATTTTAATTTAATTGTAACTGAAAGCTTTATGATACTAATTTGTCCTCTTAAAAATTTATTGTGTTTGTGAAAGCCACTATATTCAATTTATATTTATTCTAAAACATAGTTTGGTTTTCAACTGATTATTAATTCTGTAGAAAAATGACCCTTATCTTTATTTATTTATTATTTATTTAAATTTCATACAATTCTCTCATAATGTTCTTAACTGTCCAGAAATTGGTATCTTAATTCTTTAGTAACTTATTCCATTATTTGATGATTACGCCTAACGAGACAAATCCCGACAGGAACATTTTTTTTAATTAATAACGTAAATTAACAATATATTATCATTGTCGCGCATAAACATAGACGTTATATCAAGGGTATCTACGGAAATAAATTGATAATAACAAAATCAATGCCGAAATGTGCGAAGGTTGCGGTATCTCAGGCAAAACCGCTGAACTCCCTGGCCGATGAATCGGTCAATGAAATCGATCACAGTGAAGCAAACCAGCGGAAGAATCCGCTCGAGCTTGAAGAACGACTACGGGATTCTGCTTTATCGACCAACGGGGAACCAACAGCAGCTACCGCGCCGCAAGTTGAGCCGACGCATTCGGCAACGGATATCGTGATCGACACAACCGTTGGATTCGTAAGTATGCGTGTGTGTGATCCTTCATTACGTTGATTAAAATTTATAATTAAAATTGAAATCTAGACAGAGAGAGAGAGAGAGAGAGAGAGAGAGAGAGAGAGAGAGAGAGAGAGAAAGAGAGAGAGAGGGAGGGGGACAGAGAAAAAGAGAGAGGGGGGAGGGGACAGAGAGAGAGAGAGAGAGAGAGAGAGAGAGAGAGAGAGAGAGAGAGAGAGAGAGAGAGAGAGAGAGAGAGAGAGAGGAAGAGAGATTAAAATCCTTTCAGTGACAACGATATCCTGCAATCTGTTCAATCCCTTTAGTTAAATCATGATTCTGGCGTGAGAAATTCATTGACAGTCCGTATCGATAATTCGGCAATTTCATTTTGCGAAAACCCATCGCGCCACGAATTATCCGTTGTTGGATGCAATGGCCGTTCGAACTAATTAATTAAAATCACCTCGCCACTCATTAACACATTCAATAATCGAAACTGCACCGCTGCAGCGATGATATCTCTATCAAAACATGATAAATCAGAAATAACAATTAGTGAAATGGCGTATTATATGCCATTTTTTTCGCAGTTGATCATTTGAATTGCGACGCACAATTAAATTTGCCGACTAAATTCGCGCAAAATTGTAACAGAGCTCACAAAATTAAGACTTAATTCCATGATAAGTCTCCAGTTAGTTAAATATCTGTTAACGGTTCTAATTATGAATCGAGTTCCAATTTCGACTTAAGCTTGGTTCAACAAATACAATTATAATGAAAGTAACAGAAAAAAGTTTTTTATATTTTTTAATTTACCCTTCACAATTATTTAATATGTATATATATATAATATATATATATATATATATATTGGGGACTTGAATAAGTACTCGTTGTTTTTTCGTGAAAAAGAATGCATTATTTAAAAAAATTAGTAAAGGACATGTCATTGAAAATATTGTCCATCGCTAGCCACTACTTTCTCCCATGTTTCTAGCAGCATACGAATACCATGTCGAAAGAACGACTCATTTTTTGAGGTTATCCATGAATCGACCCATTCTTTGGCATCTTCATAAGAATGGAAGTGCTGCTCAGCCAGGCCATGAGTCATCGATCGAAACAAGTGCTAATCGGAAGGAGCAATGTCCGGTGAATACGGCGGGTGGGGTAGGACTTCCCATTTGAGCGTATCCAAATAGGTTTTGACCGGCTTTGCAACATGTGGCCGAGTATTGTCATGCTGCAAAGTTGTAGTATCTCTCCTCGTATTGCGGCCGTTTTTCTTTCAATGCCCGGCTCAAACGCATCAATTGTAGTCGATAGCGATCTCCCATGATAGTTTCGTTGGGTTTGAGTAGCTCATAATATATTACACCCAGCTGATCCCACCAAATACAAAACATGAGCTTGGAACCATGGATATTCGGCTTTGCCGTCGATGTTCATGCATGGCTGAGCTTATCCCACAATTTTCTACGTTTCGGGTTATCGTAGTGTATCCACTTTTCATCGCCAGTCATGATACGATGCAAGAAACCTTTCCTTTCCTGCTGTTGGAGCAGCTGTTCACACGTGAAAAAACGCCGTTCGACGTCTCTCGGCTTCAATTCGTACGGCACCCAATTTCCTTGCTTTTGAATCATTCCTAATGCTTTTAAATGTTTGGCAACTGTTGTGTGATCAACTCCTAATGATTCTGCAAGTTCATTTTGCGTCTGACATAGGTCTTCATCGAGTAATGCTTCCAATTCTTCGTCTTCAAACTTTTTCGGTGCGCCAGAGTGTTCTTTATCTTCAACATCAAAATCATTATTTTTAAAGCGTTAAAACCGATCTCTGCATGTTGTTTCCGACAGAGCATGGTCGCCGTAAGTCTCCACAAGAATTCTATGTGCTTCAGCTGCAGATTTTTTTTTGAAATAAGTAATGCAATAAAATTCCCCGCAAATACTCTTTTCTAGCACGAAATTCGACATGTTTAACGCTATGAAAAAATATATTGTTTACGCTTCGGCGGAATAACATATATTGTCACTTCGAGCCTAATGGTGGAGCTTCATGATGAAGTTGGCTGTAGTATTGCCCGATACAAAAAGACTAAGATAACATTATCTATCGGGAAACAGCGAGAACTTATTCAAGTCCCCAATATATATATATATATATATATATATATTTATATATAATTACGTATATATATATATAATTACTCGTATTGATATATTATAATTATATTCTAATATATTCATAAAACATTATTGATAAATGTTAGAAAAAGTATGGAGTGTAATTTGCTACCTACAATATATTTCATTTAATAAAATAAGCTCTCTAAGTTAAAAATTTATATTGCTGAAAAATTTTATATATCACATATACTTGGTACGTAGTTTTTTTTCTATTAATCTAGAATTAAATATCGTATGACTTTTGTGGAAACGCAAAATAATTTACTGACTTATAGTTGGAGCTTGCACGTAAAGGTATATATTTTCTATTTACTTAAAACAAATTTGATGTCTGATAATTTCGTTTTAAAACTTTAATGTTTGTGTTATTCATAATAATATTAATAATTCTTTTGAATATTTGACTGATAAATTTATGGAAATTAATAAAAACTACTGCAATTTTACATAAAATGATAATTAGGGCCATAATCCTATAATTAGGATAATTATTTCAAGTAAAAGAACGGAGACAATATAAAAACCTGTGCACAATCGGTATAGTGCGATGAATTACAAAATTTATTAAGTCAAAAAGAAATAATACAGGATGTCTCATGAAACTGTAACAGTTAATATTATTTATTGCACTTTGGATAATAAAAGAAAATGATGTAAGGGAAAGAGGTTAAATGGTTTAATAAGTACTATTTTCTTATGAAGTCAATTTTTTTGTTGGTGCAATGATGAATCAGAAAAATGCAATTGCATTTTTATCTTAAATAGAACCTCCCTGATTTTTTTGTGGAAGTTAATTGCTTAAAAAACTCTTCGTAAAGAGGTAGTAAAGAGAGACCAAAAAATGAATATTTAATGAAATATTTCAGATTTATTAAAGTAAATATTTAAACATTCCATCATACAAACATTTGGCATCGAATATCTAGAAAGGTATTACAAATACTATTTGTATGTACTCGATAGCGCCGAAAAAAACAATACTGCTTACGCCTAACAATAAGGCTACAAAATAACAAATGAATCATAATTTAATGAAAAAATATCATTGTGAACTTTTCAAACAATGTAGATATGTTTAGTATCTTTGTGCTTTGCAATAAGAATGCTATAAATGCTGCAATTATGTATCATCATATGTTGCCAAATGTTTGTTATATGATAATGGAATGTTTAAACATTTACTTTAATAAATCTGAAATATTTCATTAACTGTTCATTTTTTGGTCATCTTACCCTACTACACAGTAGAACTATTTTTTACGCAAAATATTTTAAGGAATCAACTTATACAAAAAAATTGGAGGAAGAGTGGCTTCTAAAGAGTGTCCCAAAATTCACCCAAGATTTGAATTTTGCGGCATTTGTGCGATCAAATGTTGCCAACGAAAAAAAGAGATAGCGTGATAGCTAACAGTTCAGGGTTTTTAAAATGGAGTGCTACAGGAAAGAACACGTTTTCATTGTTGAGCAATATTTTAAAAATAATGAAAGTTTGGCAGCTACAGTTCGCAATTTTCGTACAAAATATGGTCGGAATAGTGATTTAACTTCATCAACTGTGAAAAGATTAATTAAAAAATTGAGGGAGACTGGATCAATTAGTGATCTTAAACACTTTGGCCGTTCTTCAATAAGTCGTTCAACACAAAACATCGAAGCAGTTCGTGAAAGTATTGTTGAGAGTCCAGGAACATCAATTTGGCACCGTGGACAAGAATTGGACATTTCGAGAAGCTCTCTACAGCGTATTCTCACGAAAAATTTGCATCTTCATGTTTACAAAGTTCAATTGACTCAAGAACTGAAGCCTACTGACCACGCACAGCGAAAAGAGTTCGTTGAATGAATTATGGAACAACAACAAATAGATGCTGATTTCTCGAACAAAATCATCTTCAGTGATGAGGCTCATTTTTATCTTTATGGCTTGGTTAATCGACAAAATTGTCGCATTTGGAGTTCAGAAAATCCACGAGTGATTGTTGAGAAACAAATGCATCTACAACGTGTCACTGTTTGATGCGGGCTGGAGACATCATCGGACCATTCTTCTTCGAAAATGCGGCTGTATAGGCAATAACAATTAATGGTGCTCGCTATCGCGACATGATAATTCAATTTTTTGTGCCTAAATTGCAAGATATGAATGTGGACGACATGTGGTTTCAACAAGACGGTGCCACATGCCATACAGCCCGAGAAACAGTTCAATTACTGCATGAGTCATTTCCTGGTCATGTAATTTCCTGTTTTGATGATCAGATTTGGCCGCCCAGATCATGCGATATAACGCCGTTGGACTTTTCTTTTTGGGGTTTTTTGAAGTCTAAGGTTTATGCCAACAAGCCCACGACCACCCACGCCTTGAAGGAGGAAATTGAGCACTGTATCAACAAAATTCAGCCACATTTATGCAAAACGGTCATGGAAAGTTTTAACAAAAGAGTGGATATGTGCCAGCAAAGCCGTGGAAGCCATTTACCCGATATGCTATTCCATACATAACCCTATACTGTATACTTTATGAATCAATAAAAAATTTACAATTTTTAATTATAAACCTGTGTTTTCTATCAAAATTACTTCTTGCTTGAATTTTGGGACACCCTTTATTTAAAATAAAAATGCATTTTTCTGGTCATCTGAATTTTCTTCGTTATTGCACTAACAAAAAAATTCACTTCATAAGAAAATAGTACTTATTAAGTTATTCAACTTTCCCTTGATTACACTCCCCTCCACCATTTTCTTCTATTGTCCAAAGTGTAATAGATATGAACTGTTACAGTTCCGTGAAGCAGCCTGTATAATCATGTCCCAACCTTTAATCATTATTTTCGGTATTACTTTCTTGCTTCGTAAAATATTATGCATTTCGAAACATACAGGATACAAATTGTTGCACTCTCTGAGCTAGATTGACGAGATCCCGACGACAAAACCGAATCCGTTTTCCTGGTTTCTGAGGCCATTAACGCAGAAGATCCAATTTTTGCCGGAGTCATTCCTTCAGGATCGCCTAGTCCAGCTGAAGGAAACACTGAACAACCTAGGCATCAACGTGGTGCAAAATGCGACGGCAAAGCAACTGAACGGACCCGTTGGCCTAGTGCACTTGGTGGGCCCGAATGACTCTGGTTTCTACACGAATCGGCTAGAGCCGGCCGGTTTTCTAGGTGGTAATGGCTGGTTCGCCAACAAAGGTGGTATTCTTGGCGGACCCGGAACGATCATCTCTACTGGCAGCCTTCTCACGGATTACCCGACTGCTTATAAAAAATAGAACGAGTCGCTATGCTCGTTTACTATTCGAAAATGTAAATAATCAAGAAGCGGAATGACCGAGTGCCAGATTCAGCCATAAACTTATATTCATAGACTACATTCACGCTTTGGATGTTTTTCTGCTGGTAGCTTTAATCTATTCTTATTGCTTATTACGATTAAAAGAAGATGAAATAATGCTTTCAGCACGAACGCGTTCAAATCACAAACTTCTATGTACTAATTAGACCGTTAACTTTCCACGTAACGTGATTGAAATGGAGAAGGTTGTGGAACGCCATATAATTTTGAGCTCATTCATATAGGTATGTGTAAAAGATATCACACTTAAGGTGTTTGCAAGAAAAATACTTAAGGCTTTTGTAGAAACTTCATAACATTAAAGCTGGGTCTATAACAGGTGTAGCAAGCTTTAAGTCATAAGGAATTTATCATCCACAATTGATTATTTTTCTCATATTTGACTGTAGTTGGTTAATTTCTTATGGTTTAAAGTAGGTAAAGCTACTATATCTATTAGAGATCCAGGCTAAGGTTGTAAGAAGATTGAGCAATCACAGTCGATTATTCTTCTTGCGTTGAAGAAATAATCGACTGTGATTAGTTAGTTTTCTTAAGTCCTTATGATTACGGTTAAAACTCTTCTACGTGCAAAACCTTTTACAGTCACTACTGAAGTTAATATTGAAATTTATAACGCGTAATATAACCTAAAATTTAAACGCGTAATATAACCTAAAATTTAAAATATCACTGTTAACCATTATAGTTACCAATAACATACATTATAATTGTTATAATTATCAACAATTAACATATAACATTATAATTACTAACAACATACGCACCGGTAGACAATAAATAAAGGGTGTCCCAAAATTCACGCAAGAAGTAATTTTGATAGAAAACACAGGTGTATGATTAAAAATTGTAAATTTTTTATTGATTCATAAAGTATACAGTATAGGGTTATGTATGGAATAGCATATCAGGTAAACCAGGTAAATCAGGTAAAGCGAAGAGAGTTCGTTGGATGGATTATGGAACAACAACAAATAGATGCTGATTTTTCGAACAAAATCATCTTCAGCGATGAGGCTCATTTTCACCTTCATGGCGTGGTTAATCGACAAAATTGTCGCATTTGGGGTTCAGAAAATCCACAAGTGATTGTTGAGAAACAAATGCATCCACGTATCACTGTTTGGTGCGGATTTTGGGCTGGAGACATCATCGGACCGTTCTTCTTCGAAAATGCGGCTGGTCAGGCAATAACAATTAATGGTGCTCGCTATCGCGACATGATAATCCAATTTTTTGTGCCTAAATTGCAAGATATGGATGTGGACGACATGTGGTTTCAACAAGACGGTGCCACATGCCATACAGCCCGAGAAACAATTTAATTACTGCATGAGTTATTTCCTGGTCGTGTAATTTCCCGTTTTGGTGATCAGATTTGGCCACCTAGATCATGCGATTTAACACCGTTGGACTTTTTCCTTTTTTCTTTGGTTTTTTGAAGTCTAAGGTTTATGCCAACAAGCCCACGACCACCCACGCCTTGAAGGAGGAAATTGAGAACTGTATCAACAAAATTCAGCCATATTTATGCAAAACGGTCATGGAAAGTTTCAACAAAAGAGTGGATATGTGCCAGCAAAGCCGTGGAAGCCATTTACCCGATATGCTATTCCATACATAACCCTATACTGTATACTTTATGAATCAATAAAAAATTTACAATTTTTAATTATAAACCTGTGTTTTCTATCAAAATTACTTCTTGCTTGAATTTTGGGGCACCCTTTATATGAATAAAGTAATATCAAACGAGAAATCCAAAAAAATGTGTAGAAGATATTTGTAGTTTTAATAAAACGAGATATGAGACGCAGTATTTTTCTCATTAGAATAATAGCCGTAAAATGACCACACATGATATACATATACAGATATACACATATATATATATATATATATAATTCACTCTATTTATTACGTGTACTCATGTGTGTACGATAAAATGAGCTCGAATCAACACCCTCACGGAAACAGCAACGAACTCCTCTTCCTTTTCCGCCACTATCGATGTTGCGCAGCATCTATTACAACATAAATACATTTTTCATGCAAGTTTTCCGACGGTATAGTTTGATCTACTTCCCTCACGGACACTTAATCACCCCCCCTCCCCTCTCTTCTCTCCGCGTACATCGCGAAAAATACGCGCCTGGTTGCATTGGCGGCGGCAGGCGCGAGACGTTATTGGAAATGCATAAGATATCTGATATCTCGCGAATTCAAAGGATAACCCCGGTTGTTCCCTCTTGCACGAGAGTTGGACGCAAGGCGAAACCGGGCTCGGCCGCGAGGAATTTTCATTTCTACCGAATTGGGATTGGATCCCGAGTTTTCCCACCACGTTATGGTGGTCGACGACGCGCCGGCATCGGCTATCGGTGAACTTACTCTCCGTTCTTCTGATTCTGCCGTCTCTTCGTGTCTCGACGCATTTCTTGTTATCTGTAATCCAAGTGGGTTAAATTATCGTACGATAAGACGAGCCATCGTGTGCTGATATCTCTCTGGGGAGACGAGAAGGTTTATTAAAAACGATGAATGATTCACACATGGTTGTTATCTCCGGTGTCGGCGTTGGCATCGGCGCCCTCCGCCATGCGTGAAAACGATGCGCATCACCATTTCGTAGGTGTTTGATAATTGGTAACGTGATGATCGATAAAGGAGGTTCTCTGGTTCCCTCGTTGTAAGTCGAACCGATTTGCGTCAGACTGACCGTTACCTTTTGCTCTGCCCTGCCCTGCCCTTTGATCTTTCGTCATTTACGATTATAAGCAGATTTAATAGAGGGTCAAGACTTAGAAGGTTCAGGATTGGACATCACATATATTATTAAATTCAAAATTCTCGAGGCTACTTCTGGAGGTATAGATCTACTTCTCATCTGGATACCGATTCACAGAAATATTTTCGGAAACAAAATGACTGACACTCTGGCGAAACTGGGGGCACTGAGTTCAAAGCAGCCACCGGAACAGTTTTGCTCCATCCTGGAAGTCGATTTCATAGCAAGGAAAAAAAACTAGATTATGAAGCAGTAGTCAGAAACTTCGAAGAAGATTTCACCTCTAAAGGAACCAGATATCTTCCATACTCACCGAACCATGGTTCAAGAACCTGGATAACGTTAACAGAGAAATAATCACTCTAATGGCCAGATGCAGGTCGTTTCATATCATATCATATCATACTAATCCACACTTCCGTGCCAAAAATATATTAGAACGCACAGGCTATGAATATAGATGGTCTTACAGAAACACTGAACACATCCTCTTTAGATGACTACTTTTCAGCAGGGAATCAGATCAGTTACTTTTACACTTATTTGACAGGGATTGTGACTTTTCAACTGACAATATTCATGAAACAGCCTTTATTATCAATAATGTTCCATCATTTGCAGCAATTGCCAGGTTCCTGAAAGATCAATCGTTATAACTGTATCAAATAAAAACTCGACATAAGGAATAGCGTATGGGGATATTCACTTCCCCCAGAGCCAGCTGTAGAAAAGAAAGGAAAGATTATAAGCAGACTGCAAGATGTCAAAAGTGACATTGGAAATGAAAATTACAGTATAATTTTGTCCAGAAGTTTCATATGCATGTGAATTCTTTTCGACCTTTCGGTCAGACTATTTTTCGTAAATTAACAATAATTTATATAACTATATTTAATAATAATATTTTTATAAATCAATAACAAAGTTTTGGATTTTGTAATGAACTTTTATGAAAGACTCAATTCCATGATTATATATGTTCAACAAAAATGGATATTTAAAATGTTAAGAAGCAAATAAATTTATATATTGGGTATGGGAATAAGTTTCTGCCCTTTTCAGAAAGTTATCGCTGGTGTACTAATTTCGTACTAATTTCGTGTTTGATGGAACGGTTATACTTGTGTTTTGAAGGTGTATTTGTGAGCTTTGAATCGCAATAGTAGACATTCGTTTGAAGCGTAAACATCTTTTTCTTTTCGCGTCGAAAATGGCAACATTTACCCCAACGAAGCAGCATTTGTAGGAAGTGTTAGTCCATTACTATATTGTGAAGAAAAATGCTGCTGAAACGCATCAAATGCTTATTGATATTTACGACGATCATGCTCCGTCGAGTACCACGTGTAAAGAGTGGTTTCGACGTTTTCGAAGTGGTGATTATAACGTGAGCGACCAGAACGCGAAGGGGCACCTAAAAAATTCGAAAATGCACAACTGCAAGATTTACTCGAAGAAGATCCGAGTCGAACGCTCGAAAATTTTTCAAACGAGTTAAATGTTGATAAATCTACCGTCGGAAAACGTTTATATGCGTTGGGAATGGTCCAGAAGTCAGGAAATTGGGTGCCACATAAATCGAAGGAGAGAGACATTGAAAGACGTCTGGTAACGTGCGAGATGCTGCTTCAAAGACAAAAAGGAAGGGTTTCTTGCATCGAATTGTCACTGGCGATGAAAAATGGATCTACTACGACAACCTCAAACGCGTGAAATCATGGGTGATGCCAGGTGAACTAGGTCCATCAACTCCAAAACGGAATATTCACGGTTCGAAAGTTATGTTATGCATCTGGTGAGATCAGGAAAGCGTTATTTATTATGAGCTTCTAAAACCGTCCGAAACCATCACTGGGGGGGGTCGTTACCTACTGCAGTTGATACGTTTGAACCGAGCTTTAAAAGAGAAACGATCGGAATGGGATAATAGGCACAACAAGTTGATTCTGCTACACGACAACGCTAGGCCCCACGTTGCAAAACCAGTCCAAAAATACTTGGAAGGATTGAATTGGGAAATCTTGTTCCATCCGCCGTATTCACCAGATATTACTCCTTCAGATTTCTACTCATTTCGGTTTATGCAGTCGGCCCTTTCTGGAGAGCGATTTACTTTTCATGAATGCATCGAAAAATGGCTTAATGAATGGATTGAGTCAAAAGAACCTGATTTTTTTCTTTGAGGAATTCATTTACTACCTGAAAGATGGGAGAAAGTTGTCGCTTCCAATGGGGCGTACTTTGAATAAAATCATCTTATATTTTTTGTTTAAATAAACGACTAATTTGTATTTAAAACGGGCGAAAACTTATTCCTATACCCCAATATAATATATGATGTTTATTATATTGAAATATTGAACACTAATTTAGAATTATTAGTAGTTTTCTTTTGAAAATACAACTATTTTCAAAACAAATTATAATTTATAGTAATATTTGAAATGTATATTTGCATACACGTATATACATTTAAACATTTATCTATTTCTTTTTATTATCTATATATATATATCTGTTAAATCAGCTAATGTATAAATGAAGCATTAATAAAAAAATTAAGAAATATTAGTAACAGTAGAAAGTTTTTAATCTTTTTTAGCAAAATTTAGTCTTTATTTGAAAACAAATGAAAACATCTTAATCTTTGAAATATTCCTCGTTATTATCGACGACTTTCTGCCATTTTTCGGATAGTTTGCGAATTCTCAGGTGGTAAAAGCTCATCGGCTTTGAAATGATAAATCTTCGATGTTTTTCTTAGACTTCTTCTGTTCTGAAGTGTTCTGAAATGTGTATCAGCCAAATGATGCTGCATCGCCTGGAATAGATAATCGGAAGGGGTCACATCTGGTGAATACGCCACGTGCAGAAGTTCCCACCGAAAATGACCTGCTTCGTC